GGACAGGTGTGTAGGACAGGTGTGTAGGACAGGTGTGTAGGACAAGTGTGTAGGACAGGTGTGTAGAACAGGTGTGTAGGACAGGTGTGTGGAACAGGTGTGTAGGACAGGTGTGTAGGACAGGTGTGTAGAACAGGTATTCCATTTAAAAATATGTTCTGGGTGTAGACGTAGAATCTACTCATATTATTAGACGGAACATGTGCTCTACTAAAAACAGCTGATAGTTTGAAGAACATACCCATAGTGCGGGACAGAACATATGCTTGAACGTGAAGCTCTGGGTCTAAGTGTAAGCACAACTAGGAGGCGAGAAGGGCTCGTGCTCTACTTAAAACGAAGGTTCTGTGCGTAAAAAACTAACATATTTGGTATGTCTAGTTTTCGTCGGAGAGAGAGTGTGTAGGACTGATAAGGTTTAACTGAGACGATGATCGTGAGAGTGGATAACTGAGACGATGATCGTGAGAGTGGATAACTGAGACGATGATCGTGAGAGTGGATAACTGAGACGATGATCGTGAGAGTGGATAACTTAGACAATGATCGTGAGAGTGGATAACTTAGACGATGATGCTTGAATGCTGGCAAGTATTGAGGCGTACTTGGCTGTCCTTAAATTTACCAAAGAAACACCAAGTTATTCCTTACAGCTTCATGGTTACGTTAATCGAAACTGAACGAAATATGCTGGCATATTACTAGAGATTCAAAAGTATTTTTGCTACTTATGGTTCTCGTGGCACAAGTCTCACGTCAATTGGGACATAATTTTCGGTATTAAACCTAACCAATTAAATTTTTCTTAAGCGTATATGCTGTGCTGCCACGCTTTCTACACCTCATTTGCCTCATTGCATTGCTCATTGCGAGCAGATACTACGAGCTGGTGGCGCTGCACGGCGAGCTCTCGCCTCTGGTGGACATCAGCCTGAAGCCCACGAAGGAGGTGCACGTCAAGGTTGTGTACGAGGACCAGGTGCTGCCCTACACCTTCAATGTTTATCTCAGAGTCCTCGATGTCAAGAAGATGCTCGAGCCGAGAGTGAGTGTATTGTCTATTACTAATATTAATTTGTTTGGCCCCTAAGTTATGCAGTGTATGAGAAATTCAACGCAGTTGATGTCTAAATTTGCTGGCGGTGTTAGGTGTTTGAAAGAAAATAATGAGTGGATAGTTCTGCTTACAGCGGTAACAATTCACCCAAACCTTCGACTTAATATCTTTTACTTCCGGCATCTTAAAAATAAATTTGTTTTTATTAATCTGCTTGCGGCTACTAATCATTTAGTAAAGAATCATTCATTGGGAAATGAACAGTCTTCTTAATTATTTCGTGTAATTTTATACCCATATTAAACAGGATCTGTCCCACAGCTTGGATTACCAGCCAACAAAATGCGGTTATTTTATGAAGACTGTGGTTTCGACGGCTGCCCCGCTTACGCCCCAGAAGAGATCAAGATCAACACAAAGCAGCTGTACACGTTCAACGTACACAGCGGCGATAACTTCATAGTTGACAGCAAATAAGACGTCCCGGGCTGTTATGGAGGGCTACAAAAATTTATTTTATATTAAGATTGTTAGCTCATTTAACTTGCGGAAATATCGATCCAGCCATGATGGTTTCTTAACGTTTGTCTCTTTTTATGCCTCGAGCTTTCAATGCAAATGTTGCTTTCGTCCTGGCGTCATGCCGTGTTAAATTTGTGGGTAAAACATCACGCAAATGCTGCTTTCGTCCTGGCTTCATGCCGTGTTAAATTTGTGGGTAAAACATCACGCAAATGCTGCTTTCGTCCTGGCGTCATGCCGTGTTAAATTTGTGGGTAAAACATCACGCAAATGCTGCTTTCGTCCTGGCGTCATGCCGTGTTAAATTTGTGGGTAAAACATCACGAAGAGACTGGGCAGTTCTTGGCTGCGTTTCTCACCGTCGTCCAGTAAAATAGGAAGCACTTATTCGTAGTGTGCGGTCAACGGTCGTGCAGAGCATGTTAACTGAGCTCCTTAAACCTGTTATGTTAGGCACTGCAATGCTGTGCAATAAGATTATTTAGTATTAAGCTACCTACTTAATACTACTAGAGTCAACCGAAATGAATCCTAATATTTGGGCATTCGTGTACTTTTCTTCTGAGCAATTTTTAACCGTATATTAGATGATAATTTAAATGACATTCTTGAGTACCTATTATGTGAAATTAATTTTGTGTAATCTAAATTTTATGTTTATAACGATAATTATTTGATTTTAATAGACTTATATATTCCATCAGATGGATGCTTCGAGTAGAATATTCGATATTGTTTTAACTTCATTATATATAAATATTATGAAGCCTTTGTCTCGAGTTCGATCGTTGCCTTGAAGCAAGTATTGCTGTGAGAGCTTGTCGGGCATCTTGCTATCGTCGCGGGGCGTGGGGTGACTGTGGTATGCGTGGGGTGACTGTGGTATGCGTGGGGTGACTGTGGTATGCGTGGGGTGACTGTGGTATGCGTGGGGTGACTGTGGTATGCGTTGATTACTGCGGTATGCGTTGGATTCTGTGGTTATGTATGTTTGTGTTGAGCGAGTGGTAATTTCAGTGCATGTGATGGTGTGGTACGTGTAGTGCATGCCGGAGGCCAGCTTTGACAAACTTCACACTTCTGTCATATTCCTTCTCGCGGTCAAGCACGCTACAGTACATAGTAACCTATGCAGTTGTGAGCTTAAATCAATAATACCATAAGTCCACAGCCACCTCTTTAAGCGTGCTTGTCTTTGGCAGTAAGTTCTGTATCTGACCTCGATCAATTTGCCACGACTCTTCACCAAAGCGTATCTGGAAGGAACTAACCTAACCTCATTGGTTGCAAGAAGGTAAAGTGGTTGGGCAAGTGAGCAGACAAAGTCGGTTATGGCCTTCGAGAAGGCGGAGAGTCGGGATAACATGAATTCTGTATATGTTAGTCCAGATGCAAAAGATCTGCTTTAAGAGGTGAATTTGTGTCGCGGCAAGTATACCCTGTTGCGTGTGGTATGTGTGGTGCTGGTGTGGTGCGTGTGTTGGTATTGGATGTATGTGGTGCGTGTGGTATTTGTGTGAACGATAGAATTCGTTCACTGTTAACCGCTCTACCACGATGGTGCTCGTCGTGAGAGGCCAGATAAGAGCGGTTGTGAGTCGAGTAATCAGTCGTGTGCCGCCAGCCTTATATACTGCGAGGTTCTACCTGAACCTACCTCGCTCTGTTGCTCCACTAGCGATCTTGTGCCCCGACGCTAGTGCTTGTGGCTGTGCTTCATCAAGCAGTAAAATGCCTGTTACGCTAGGTTTTACTATTGTAAACGTGTTTCTTTTATAGCGTTCTTAACTGATATATAATTTACGTTTTATCCGTATGTGCCCGTACGCTGGTGCTTTGATGCTTGATGAAGATCTGAAAGCTTCATCAAGCGGTACAATGCCTGTTACGCTGGGTTTTAATATTGTAAACGTGTTTCTTCTATAGCGTTCTTAACTGATATATAATTTACGTTTTATCCGTATGAACAAAAGTTTTAATGAACAACCAAGTGCAATAAAATACCAGCTATTGCAATTTTATCCGTATCAGTGTATTTTTACATGATATTTGCCAGCGCTTGGCCATTAAGCTCCAACATTACGGCCAGACTGAAAGTTGCGATGAACGTCTGCTGACATTTGTATTGTGCGACTTATGTGGAGCATCAACAATTATGCGATTCATGAGATTATTAAAACGACGATCATTCAGGGTGTGCCATGCGTATCCTGCACGTATAAGGAGTGCTATGCGTGAGAAGAGCTATGAATCTCCTCGTTATAAGCTCCTGCTGCTCGTAAGCTGAGCAATTATTGCTTTGTCACGTGTAGATATCACAGAAAGTTTATTCAGGATATCTCGATTATGTGTATAAAGTTGGAAAGCCTTGCGTGTGCTGGTGATTAGTGTCGAGTGCCCTCTCCAGCCTCGTATGTTTTTACAATATTTCGTTTTCGCTTCGTATAATGAACCGCGCTTCTGTCCATTATTGTGATGGTGCTCCATGTAATCCATTATTATTGTCCATTATTGTGATGGTGCTCCATGTAATCCATTATTATTGTCCACTATTGTGATGGTGCTCCATGTAATGAGCTGCGCTTAGGTTCAAAAAGCTGTTGTTGGTCCAACACTTCATCGCCCAACATTCAAACTTTTATTGTAATTTTTCGATTCTTTGTAGTAAGAATAGAGCATCATGTCCACACAAAATATTTTTCTTATTGTTAATGCATTCAAAACGCTGTTCTTTAATAGTTATAGGCTTCTTCTTCCCCATTGATTTACAATTCTTATAGGTCAATTATTTTTCGAATGTATTTATATTATTTTGATTATCTTCGATGTAAAGTTCAATTCCTGCATTGCAGGTATGAATATTGTCTAATAATAGCGCCATGGGCAGCAAATTATAGATCTCATGTGGTTCATTTGAACCAAACACCTGACGAGACTTAACATCCTAGGAGGGCCAAACTGCAATTAAACCTATAAGCTATGCATTGCTTCCTAATAGCAGAGCTAAAATAAGACATTTCAAGTCTCAAGACTTGGCATGTTAAGGGGATCTATTTTATCCACCTCATGATCCGTGTCAGAAGAATAAAAACTGATATTGTTTGTTGTGTTTGGTTTTAATGTCTTCAATTTTAATTATTTGAATCTGCTCTAAGTTGTGTGTAATCAACGCTGATTGGTTTCTTTCACCTAAATCTGCGATTTCGGGATTTTTTCTCCCCGTTCGACCAGTGGGAAATAAACACGTTGTGCCTCATTTCCCCTTCCATGACTGACAATCCCTCCAGAAATATTCTATTATATATACATGTGTGTTCGTTTGATTTCCCCTCGGGTAAAGTAACGATTTGATGAAGCTAGGCGGCGCCCAAAGTTACTAAGAGTTACCGCTAGCAAGCCAGCACCTAAAGCTAATAAGAGTTACCGCTAGGAAGCCAGCACCTAAAGCTAATAAGAGTTACCGCTAGGAAGCCAGCACCTAAAGCTAATAAGAGTTACCGCTAGGAAGCCAGCACCTAAAGTTACCAAGAGTTACCGCTAGGAAGCCAGCACCTAAAGTTACCAAGAGTTACCACTAGCAAGCCGGCATCCATTGTTAATAGGAATTAGCAGGGAAGAGAAGTAATTTTAGTTATCAGCCTTTTCGAAACCACTCAAACCAGTCATTAAACAACATGAAAAAAGAATTGTCCTCGGCAAATTCTGATCGGGACTCTCCCTCCAATTATTATCCTGTTGGTTTTAATAATAACGCTAGGTAGTCAATGAATTGTGTGGAAGAAATACTAAATTGCTATACTGAATAAAGTATAATAGCTAATATCAATTCAGAAGTGATATTATTGTTGTTCATTACTGTGATGGCAATTTTCACGTCAATGATGCAGTTAAAAGTGTGCCAGTCATACTCATTAAGAAGTATTTCGGAGAGTAAATTCACTCAGTTCAGGAAGCATGGAGCGGGCGCGCCGTAAATAGTGATATTTAAACACCGTAAGCTAGTGCCACATGTATTGATGAGTTGCAATATGCATTAACATTGGGATATATTTTCTCCGCTTGACCGCTCCTCACTCCATATGTTCTTGAAAAATAATTAGTAGTCTGTAAATGACTTGAAACGTACGTGGCTCAGTGTGGTGCTGTTTTACACGTCTCGAACAATTTCACGGTCGGTCTCCAAAAATATACATATACACAGCGACCATGAAATATTTCCTAAACTAATAAACACAGCTTAATGAAACTCTACACTGGTATTTTCGGACCTAACGGTGATGTCTAGACTGTGTGAATTTTTCCGATTTTGCCCTCGTTCTCGACTTAAACGGTCAACGCAGAATCCAATGAATGAACGTTGTAATACATTTATACACATATTCACTGAGCATTATCTTCTCAGTACAGTTGACTTTTTTGTTGTGTTCGTGATCCGCTCATCTCCCTCACAATATCTTGAATAATTTCTTACATATTTGTTTTTTCGTGTCAAATGTCTGATTCTGCCTGTCTTGGGAAAAACGGCTCGAGTGAAAACTTTGACCTCAAACCCCCCTGTACGTGATTATACAGCAGCAGCATATCAAAAGTGGAGAGTATAAGTTTAGCGTCCGCTTCGCTGGCTGTAGGCACACAGAAAGTGAGCCGCTCCTGCCGAATCAAAAGTGGAGAGTATAAGTTTAGCGTCCGCTTCGCTGGCTGTAGGCACACAGAAAGTGAGCCGCTCCTGCCGAACCAGATCAGCCACCATACTTTTTTTTTACTTTTTTTCTTTTTATCTCTTCTTCTCTTCGCCACACATTTCCCACTACACACAAGTATCCCCCAATTGTGGCCTTTTCCTGTGTGTGTCATTAGTCATAACAGTGTTTAAAACAATCTTTCATTAGTCTTACCTATCCAAAAACCCTAACCTAACCTAACCGAACTGGTCACAGCCTGACATATCTAAACTAACCTGACCTAACCTAATCTTACCTTATCTCACCCAACCCAATCCAACATAACTTACACTAACCTAACCTATCCTAACCTAACCTTGCCTGAACTATCTTTGCCTTACCTAACCTAATCAAACCTAACCTAACCACCTGTGTGATAGTCGCCATAATAACTTTTTCCTGGTTTGAACCTAACCTCAGCAAATGACGGATATTTTACAACATGTTTAATTTCCTACCTGTTTTATTTTGAAACTGTGCATGATTGTGGCCGGAGTTCGCATTTCCAACACTCACTGAACGTGTTGGAAATGCGAACTCCGGCCTAAATACTCCAAATTTCAATAACCTAGGTGCCGGTTTTCCTCTATCAAAGTAAACAGTGCAAAAAGTTTAAATACTTAATCGATGGTTGCGAAAAAAAAACAGCCTCAAATTTTCTCAAGCTACCAGTTTCTCAACTTACTACTCGCATTTACGAGCGCTGCCAACTCCTAAACGCCGATGGTCATCATACGTCAATACCTGTGCGTTATCGAGTTAAAAGACGTTGGAAAAGCCAAAAATCGCAGTTAGAATAGAATATAAGTGTCGGCACCGAAGAAATAGGCCCATGGAATAATCCCTTACGAAAAACCAGTATTGGACGCAGTGTTGGACTTCAATTACATATAAATATATAACTTTAACATAAAAGTATAAACTTCAATTTAGATTCAGAGAAGTATTATCAATATTAATTAGTTAAGAATTAGTTCAGATAAGAAATAATAATTCAAAACCTTCGGTCAAAATTTTGTCTGTGTCAAGTTAAGAATTATCTCTGCCATCCATGGTTATTAATTATTACGAGTCGGCAACTGGATATGTATGATGTAATGTAATGTAAATATGTAATATATAAATATGTAAAGTCGGCAACTGGATATGTAGTCGGCAACTGGATGGTTATTAATTAATACGAGTCGGCAACTTATGGTGCAACCAAAGTGTTGCCACCTAAACCCGTAAACCGAAGTGTTGCCACCTAAACCCGTAAACCGAAGTGTTGACACAGTTACGTGTCAAAATTTGAGTGTACTCGTCTTTGGGAGAAACTAAATTCAGGTGTACTTGTCTTGAATAAAATTGAAAGACAAAATTATTACCAAAAAAAGCCGAGAATTAAATTTTTCATAAAAAAGGCCACAATTGTACAAAAAGGCCACGTGTATTTTAATCAGCCAATGCATTTAAAAAAATGTCACAATTGCGAAATTTGGCCTGAAAAAGGCCCATCTGGCAACACTGGGCCGCCGCTATCGCTACCGCTACATGTAGCGCGCTACTGCCCACCTCTGGGTATAAGCAGAGCTGGGCAGCGTGTTTTATGTGTTACTGCAAGAGAAAGATCTAAGGATGTTTTTGAATTTGGACGATGCATGATATCTACCTATTTAATTTCGATTAATTAACTTCAACAATAACTTAAATTACTAATATGATATAAACAATTACGAAAAACTCCAAGCCCCTTTATTTAATGTTCCAGTACACGTTTGATTACTGTTTCAGTTTACGTTCATCACAACCAACTTATTCTAGACTACAAATGCAGTATCCCAGTCCTAGCAATAAGGCCTTGCAGTTGATCATTCCATTTGCCTGCGCAACGCCTTCATAAAGGATCAACTTCCGGGGCCTTGACTCCGCCGGCTCTAAAACTCCAAATCTCCTCCTAAGGATTTTTGTAGTGCTCTCCTATTGAAGAAAGGTGCCTATTGTGCACCTAATAATACCCCGCATATCCTGAACGAAGTCCTCACACATATTCTGGTTCCTTTTTAGGGCATTTTCTCATTTATGGAAAAAATGCACTATTGTGCTCGCCATGTCCATCTGTCTGTCTGTCCGTCCGTCCGTGATCTCAAGTTTTCGTCGACGAGAAAATGCGCTCTCTGTCACTCACTGCAGTGAGTACTGAGTTATATTTTTTTAAATTAATCGTGAGCAAATTTGCTATGGCCAAACGTCGGTCATTTAACAATTATTATAATTATTCAAAAATTTTAAAGAAAGTTTGATGTTTTGTGCTGCGCTGGAGCAGCGCCGCGCTAATGCGTTTAGAGGTGCGCACTAAGTGTGCGAATAAAATGTGTGCTAATAAAATGTGTGCTAATAAGTGTGCTAATAAAAGAGCTAAGTGTGCTAATAATAAAATATAATACTAAGTGTGCTAATAAAATGCCTCTTGCTTCAACGGGCGAGTGAAGTACGAGGGATGTAGCTCCTTATTTGTGGGGCCTCTGCATGAAAGATCCGAGTGAAAATGAACAGAAATTGAAATTTGGGGCCCTATAACTAAATTAATAAAAGAATAAAGCTTACAGTGTAACCCCCAACGTTTAACACTGTAAAGCTCTATTCTTTTAACCTTTTTCTTTTATTCGTGTTTTAACCTTTTCTTTTTTTTAACCTTTTCTTTTATTCGTTTTTAACCTTTTTCTTTTATTCGTTTTTTAACCTTTTCTTTTTTTTACCTTTTCTTTTATTCGTTTTTAACCTTTTTTCTTTTATTCGTTTTTTAACCTTTTCTTTTTTTTTAACCTTTTCTTTTATTCGTTTTTAACCTTTTTCTTTCATTCGTCTCTTTTTATTGTTTAACCCCTTACCCCCCAACGTTTAACCAATGATCGTAAGGCCAACAATATTAATAGTTAAACAAAAGATGGATAAAAGTGATAGATATAAACTAATAATACAACAGACTTCAAATACAATGATACCAAAAATATAAATAGGGTATTTTTCTAGTGAAATCTATTGAACTTTTACCTAGTCTACGTTTCATTTAGACTTCGAAGGCTTTATTAACAGATAACTGAATTTTATACGAAATTTTGCGTTCTAAGTTTAACATTTGGACTCCTTCTGCACCATATAATGCTAAAATATTCTGCAACTGAACACTTGGGCTTAAAGTGGTCACCGTAATTATAAAGCAAACAAATGAAAATAAATGAGGTATGGGATAAACCACTTCATGGCTCATTCAAATTCAACAGGTTAATTAGTGTCTTTTTATTGATACTGGTTTATTAGCTTGAACTATTTATTGTGAGACTTTACGAATCGTAAATATAATTTTTTCCAAGTAAAGAAGAATATTGCAATACATTAGACATCTTGGCAAATATTAAATGCCTTTAAATTAACAGCGCTAATAATTAATTTAAGCGCGGGGAGGAGGTGAATATTAACTTGAGATCTTTCCCAAAACCACGAAAAAATTATCGTTATTAGAAAATTCTAAAATTGCAGATGTTTTCAGAGATAATTGCAGAAGCTTGACTTAACGACTTAGAAAAATTAAACTAAATTATGACCTAAA